GCACCCCTAGTTCTCTCATTTTTATTGCAAATACAATTGATAATTTGAATTACAGGGTAATTTTTATCTCTATGGTTAAATATTTTCTCAAGTAGCAACTTTAACTGCTATACTTTCCTGTCTTAAAAGGCAGAACTCTTCTAGTCTAAAAAAAACCTCATTTGTTGAAATGGGGGACGTATTTGAAGAGTTAATTTGTATTTTACAGTAATGGAAAATAAATGAGAAATTAATTGAATTTTTAAAATTTAAAGGGCACATCAAAAATAATAGAAGTTTTTAAATGAAGACTACAACTTTTCATTTATGTCTGTAGATGGATAAATGAGGAAGTTTCAAAAATGCAAGACTACTGCAGAACTCATTCTTTGAGAAAAAATATTTATAAATCACAACATTTCTAATTATTTACACTAAATATTACATAACGTTAGAAATACAAATTCTAGTTTTATGCTTTCTGCTGACACGCTGCAGGGGTATAATTCAACAGTCCTTCTTATTACAGAAGAAAACAACAAACAATGACAAGCTTCATGGTGGGAAAAACATGCACACCACAGCAAGCAGCTGTCTTGACTGAGAGAGAGACTGGATATATTGGATATATCTATTGTTTGAACCCCTAAGGGGTTCAAACAATAGGATAAATATATCCAGGCAAAAATGCCTGTCTTTTTTGCGCTTTATGAAACAAAGTACTCCATATTCTGTGCATGTATAGCTACATTTCTCATGTAAGTTTATGTAGTTTTAACACAAACATTTATTTTTTATATTGCAACAGTACAGTTAATGAGCAACCTGTACTTGTGTGCCTGTTTGTTCTGTCTAAAATGTTTATTACTGAATAAAGAGGTCAATATTAAAAAATATTTTTGTCCAATTAATCGAAAAAATAATCGCCTGATTCATCGATTTTTAAAATAATCGTTAGTTGCAGCCCTAGCCTGTCCATCTGCCTAATTGAAAAATAACTTTAAACAATGCTTTTGTGTTTGCCTTATTGGGTAAGATGGTTGCAAAAATTGTTTTATTTTTTCCCAATGGTTGATCTCGCAATGTTAAGAGTTTAATGGTGCATTACATTTGTCCTCATAAATTGAAATTTCCAACTTCAAAGATGCAAAATATAATATTCCTTTAAAAAAATATTTTTAACAATCACAAAAGTTTTGGCCACAATTGCTTTTCATTTGATTGAGATTTGTTTTTGTTTGAGTGAATAATACTGATTCAAAATTATCCCCATATATATCTAACACTAAGTCATTCATTAAGGCAGTACTTGTAAGTCTTTAGAAGACAATATGACTAAGTGCTGTATATATGGGCAGAAAACCATGTAGAAGAGTGTTTTCGTCATTGTTATGGAGAGCAGCTGCAATGCCCGTTAAAAATACAAAGTGGAACGCCTTTACCTCAGAGATCATGTTGCTTGTATTTGAACAAAATTTGAAAAATGGTTGGTTTTGAATGACATTGCATCGTCCTGATAATACTGAGAGGCAAAGTCTTTTACCTTGCCCACTTGATGAGGTACGGCAGGTGATTAAGCAGGCTGAAGGTGTAGAAAGAGTAGCGGATGATCTCTGTGACGGTCCAGGCCGCGACGAACAGCAGCACACTGTCCTCGTTTTGTACCTACAGAAACACATGCACAGAAGGATGGATGGATGGATGGATGGATGGATGGAT